AGATGTATTGCATCTAGCAATTAATTAAAGTTTATTACAACAAGCAATTGTGAAGTTTGACTCATTAACAAGGTCACCCTGTATGTATTTGGATGTATTTAATGGTGAATAAATATCGAAGGATATTTAAAAAAAGAAGCAAATAAATTATTAACCCTTTGTGGAACCTTAACACTAATAATCATGCCATGGTCAACAACCATAAACAATGCCGTACCATTTTTGGAAACACGGCCTCATATGTTTATTTCCTCAATTTTGTGCCCAGAGCACAACATTTCATGAAATATCAAGCGTCTAATCTCTAAAAAATGATCGAGTAATATTATAAATCGAATGGAGCTTCCGGTGAATTTATAGACAGCATAACATGCAAAAATCATTTGTTATAAATAATGGGAAGGCACTGTATTCTTATCTTTTTGAAAATCGTGCAGCCTGTATGTACTCTATTATTTTTATATATTTGTGTAAATTACGTTTTCATTGAGTTTCTAGAAGTTTAAAAAAAATATATAAACGTGAACTAAAGGGTGATACGGTCAAAATTTGGTCAAGGGAAAACGCGTGTAAATCGGTGAAATCGTTTATTTAAAAAATCAAATTAAATTTCTTTTTCAAGTTCAATTAGTATAAAATTCAGGAAAAATATTCAGTTAGGCTTCCGCTTTTCCAAATCATAATTGCCGGGCCTTACGCTTGACCCCTGCCATCAGATTTTGTACAGCCACCTTGTCCACCTTCTTCGCCGCAGAAAGCCAGTTTGCCTTGAACTGCTGCTCGTCCTTAGCAGTATTTTTGGTCTTCTTTAGGTTCCGCTTGACAATAGCCCAGTATTTCTCAATTGGGCGGAGCTGTGGCGTGTTGGGAGGGTTCTTGTCCTTGGGAACCACCTGTACGTTGTTGGCGGCGTACCACTCCATGGCCTTTTCACCGTAATGGCAAGATGCCAAATCCGGCCAAAACAGTACGGAACAACCGTGTTTCTTCAGGAAAGGCAGCAGACGTTTATTGAAACACTCTTTCACGTAAATTTCTTGGTTGACAGTCCCGGAAGCTATGAAAATGCTGCTTTTCAAGCCACAGGTACAGATGGCTTGCCAAACCAGATATTTCTTTGCGAACTTTGACAGTTTCATGTGCTTGAAAACATCTGCTACCTTTCCCCTTCCTTTTGCCGTATAAAACTCCTGTCCCGGAAGCTGCTTGTAGTCGGCTTTGACGTAGGTTTCGTCGTCCATTACCACACAGTCAAACTTCGTCAGCATCGTTGTGTACAGCCTCCGGGATCGCGCTTTGGCCGTCGTATTTTGTTTATCATCGCGATTTGGAGTCACTACCTTCTTGTAAGTCGATAGTCCGGCTCGTTTTTTGGCTCGATGCACGGTTGTAGACGATACACCCAGCTTATTTGCGGCATCTCGGAGAGAGAGGTTAGGGTTTCGCTTGAAACTACCGGCAACTCTCTTTGTCATCTCAGCGGCTTCCGGTTTTCCCGATCCAGACTTCCTGGCTGTCGACAAACGTTCCCCAAACACTTTAATTACATTTGTAACGGTTGATTTGGCAACTTTTAGCGATTTTGCGTGCGAGTAGCTCGGAATTTCGCGATGCGCGAGCAAAATTTTGATACGCTGCTCTTCTTGCTTGGACGGCATTTTGACAACTCAAGAGTGAATTCCAAAATCAAAATAGGAGCAACATTCTACACACACACACCTTCAAAATGAGGGGTGTTCAGGTTTTTTAAATGCAAAATTGAAAGAAATACGTCAAGTTGATATTGACCAAATTTTGACCGTATCACCCTTTATACTGCTCTAAGAATTGAATTTATTGAATTAATTTAGCCTAATCCGAACCTATCGAACCGCCTCAAAAGTCCCTACACAGAAATTCCAAGAAAGCACGTTAACTTACTTTGCTTGACAGCATCGGTTTCAACATTATTTTCAATATAACAATCAGGTTGCTATGTATATATAAGATATTGAGCAACGTGAGCTACTCAGAGTTACTCAAAATTAACTCCGGTTTTACTCATGATCAAAAGCTGTCTTGCCCCCAGGATTTGACACTTTTTTTAAAGGGATAAATTTAAAAATAAACGTACAATGTGATAGAATGCATCTATATTTACCAAAAAATATTGGATAAAATTTCGTGAAATTTTAATTTTATAGCCAAAATCTGAGTGGGACTGACTTGCAATTACATTTAACGTCAATGAGAAAAATAACCGCAAGTCAGTCACAATTCCATGATCATATATTCCGGTGAGTATGCGTCTTCATCAGACCAGAGCCAAACGTGCCAAACCCACCATGCGATAAATCAATTCACATGAGAATTCAAAAATAAGATCAATAAGAGTCATGATGAGTGACCAGCACCATGTTAGCCACACCCGGACATGTTCCGGGTATTCCCGGGGAAGTGGTAAATCATTTTTAAATCAAAATCTATCAAGAGATACAACAAATCACATGAGAATTCAAAGCCATATCCATTGGCGGTCAAACTGAGTATCGTAAGAACTATATTGGTCACACCCCGACATGTTCTAGATACCCTAGGAAACGTGGACAAAATCTGTCTTGAGACAAATTTCCTGATGCGATGTGTTGTCTAACAATTTTAATTCTATAGAAGCAATCCTAAAAACATATCTGTGACGTTGTTTTAACTAAAAATGCAGATGGGACTGACTTGCTATTACCGGCAGTATAGAAATATGAAAAAAAAATGCAAAATAGGATAAATCGACAGTGAGCATGCATAAGGGCCTATACGCGATTATCGATTCTCTTCGTCGATTTTCTCTTTCGTTAATAACTCGCTAGATTTAACGTTTATCGGTGCGTTTGCTGTTGCTTTTGATATGCAATACAACCTGTAACTACTCTGCATTGAACAAATTCTAGAAAATTGTATCGCTTAGCTGTAGCAATGCAAAGAGAAAATCGATGAAGAGAATCGATCATCGCGTATTCGCCCTTATGCATGCTCACTGTCGAAATGGACACATAAATATGTGCAAGACAACAACACCAATTTCATCACAACATAAATAGGCTTGTTGATCATTGTCATGACAACTACATATTACTTTGTCCAACGTTTGGACAACTACCACCAAAGTTAGAGCAATGTTAGTGAACATCATTAATTTCCCATACTAATTCATCGAATCTCCATACAAAATTTAAAATATTGTCATCGAGTTAAATTATTAGATATGCAATACATCTTGCACAGAAAAGTTCATCCAGAATCTAGAACTGTTAGCTGTGATAACTAGACTAGTTCAAGAGCAAATTTTCATTATGTCGTAAGTAACATTCGCACCGATCCGAGAAAAATAAAGTTTTGTTTTGATGACCGAAAAGTTATTCCTATTTCCAATTAAACACATATAATCTCATAGTGATAGCAATCTTTAACATATTTAGCCGGGTTTTAATCATACAAAGGCAAATCGCTAGCTTTCATGCTAAGAAATACTGGTTTTTGAGTCAAAAGTTATTATACGTCGTTTGGTGGCCCCTATTGTTACTTAAGTCAAAGTGTATTTACCAGGATATTCGGGAGAATTATCAATTACGTCTCTTTACGTGCAGCCCATTCATCATTTTAGGACCACTGAAATCATCTTAGCAACAAACAGTTCGATTTATTCACTTTAATAATGAGAAAGCGAAACGACGAAAGTACACTTTTCACGGGTTTCTCAGTGCTGTTACTTAAGGCAAACGGCATCTCCATAGAAATCGGGTGACTTAAGTAACATCGAAAACTATTTTGATCGGAAGGTGATTTCGTCAAAAAGCAATTCGACAGGTAAATAAATTTAAAAATGGGATGAATGTATGTATGTATGTATATACAATCCAACTTCCACTGTCCGGCAGTGTTTTTATGGAAGAAAAATGTTTGCAATATAATGCATTATTATCTTATACTGATCACATTGCAAACAATTTTAGCCCGGAAGTTGAAAGGCGATAGCTCTGTTGAGATTCAGTAATCCATTTCAGAATGCCTGGTCACTCACGTCCATTCCGAGGTTACTTTCACTTACAACAAGCCCCGCATACACGTAGTACCGATATAAAATGTATATTGGTACTGCGTGTACACTTCCATCATCAAAGCAATTCCTGCTTTGTAGATGGCACGTATTTAGTAGGATGCATTTCATATTTTTATATCTAGTTGTAATCAGTTAGATCTCACCGCTTATGCATTGTGTCCTCGACGTGGAAGCATCGTATTCTATTCTGCAAAATCATCTTTCCCGGTTTTTGTCCAGGGGCAGAACGCCAATGCTTCCGGAAGTGGAGGCGTAGCACCGGAACACACTAGCACGACGCTACAGCAACACAACTATTCAAACAAAATTCTAGCCCGGGAATTTTCACAATAATTCACAATATTAAAACACTGATAAATTAATCATGATGAATCTATATACACATGATAATAATAAAAACGATTTTTTTTTGCCTTTGGACAAGCCAAACAGCACGCGGAAAACACGGAATTTGTGACAGCGAAATTAAAACCGACCGTTTGCGGGCAGAGCCTACTGCGCACCTCATAAATTAAAAAAAAAAAAATAAAAAATGGGATGTGATCCTATATTCGGACAGTATATAGTGTAATAGCAGGAGCATCGATTGACACTGATAGCTCGACTTTGTTTACCTTTGTTACATTCGACGTAATGAAAATTTGCTCTTAAGTTATCCTTATCAATTCCTAATAAAAAAAAGAGTAATTGCCAACGACATCGACCGAACCACATTCACCAAACTCTCCCCTACGCAACCGATTTCATCCTGTACCTATATGAATTTTGATAATGCATCCACATACATACGCAACAAGTACGGCCCACGATGAGGGTGCTGTGCTGCTATTGTGTCGTTGCCTTAACTAATCTTTGTACTTTTATGTTTCTGTTTCCTCCTCCTCCCCGCCCCACCCCCCTTCAACAGATCTTCCACAGATGAGAGTTTCGCCGATTTATTCACCGGTCGGAGCTCGTCGCGTGCAGAGGGCTGTGAGTGGAGCATTCGAATCGCGCAGAACGGCTCAACATCGTCATCGGTCGCCTGTTTCCTAGCCAACCCCCCCTGGAGGGAATGTGTGTGATATGAAGAAACGGTAGTGGTTTAAATCCCAGAGAGTGCTAAATATATAAGTCCTCTAAGAATGATGTTGGAGATGATGATGATACACGTATTGCTGCTGTGAAAGTGAAACCGCATGCCTAGTGAAACGTGTCGTGTGGAAGAAGTAGGAGCGTAAAAATTGAAGAAAATTTGATTTGTAGTGGTCAGTGAGGCATATTTTCACAGACGAAGAAAATGCCTATGAAGGAATGGATCTACCGGCTGCAACCGGTGCAGCTGTACATTGTTTTGGTGCTGTCGATTTTTTACTTTTTGGTGCAACTGTTCCTGAGTCACATCTCCCATGCGTTGGTGCTGCTGGTCGACTCCTATCACATGTTGTGTAATATAATTGCCCTGAGCGGGTGTATCCTGACGATCAAGGTGAGTGTGCGGATGAGATGATTTGTTAATTCCGGTAGAGTCGGTGTTATCCTTGGGCCCAATTGAGTTTCGAGTAAAATCAGGCGAGCCATGATGAGTCGACGATATGGCGGGTAAAACGCAAAAATAACCGCAGATCACAAAAAATGATATACCTACCTACTTAGTTTACCACACAGTGTGTATGGTAGAACAATATTATAACAAAAAAAAAGGGGAAATGGCTCTAATGTTGGCCTATGGATCTTAGATTGGGCCCATCGTTAAAAATCTGCTATTTATCAATTTTATCTAGTTGAACGCGTTATTGGGAAGGTGCTAATGGATATTTTTGGTCGCTGTTGAAAATTTAGTCGATTGCTGAATTTATGCATGGACCCAAATTAGGTGCATTTAGGCCGACATTAAATCCATTTCCCCTATAAGCACTGCTGAATCCTCCATTATTTTGAAATAGACCATTTTACCTTTCATTAGAGATCTGTTTTAAAATAAACCACCGAAGGAACCTGGATATTTTTTCATAAGTTTCGTCCTAAAAATCACGAAGGGTAGCAAGTTGAAAAACCTTGAGCTTTTTAGATTTTTCGGGGATACAATTTTATGCTGGTTTTTGATTCCACTCACCCACTTTTAAAGATGCCTATTATCATTAGTTTATTTTAATAAACTTAATTTTGAGTAAATACTCAGTAAATCAGTAACGATAAATCAGGATAAAGGTTAGGTTAGGTTACTTTATTAAAGAGACTTGCAGCCATGGCCTGTTTCTTCTATGCGGATCTCCGAAGGAGGTCTCCGAGAAGAAGAATGGGGCCCCAGAAGAGGGTCCCTTTAATACAGAGTTGTTTAAACAGAGTATTGTATACTTTCTAGTTTACTGTCAGTAAGGGTCAATGGTTGTTTGCTGGTGGGTTCTGGTTGTGCCGTAGGTCTGTTTTGGTCAGTAGTCCGGGTTTTGGTGCACATGAGTCTAGGTTGTATCATTGGCCCTTTTTTTTGGCAAGGAGGAAACCTTCAAAAGGCCACCATGCCACCGCTAGACGACCGGGCGCACGGTTGCGGTGACACGGTGTGAGGGATTCTTACCGCACTAAAACCTCCTTGGACCCCTTGCCCTTTTTCCCCCGGAACCACTTGTCGTATTATTTCGGAGGGGGCTGTGCATTACGCACCTCACTGTACCTCAGCTAACTGGCGCTTCCACTTCGCTGATCGTCTCTCCAATTTGTGAGCCACTTAGATCCCAGCGTGGCGTTCTACTCGGTTAACCCCAGTGGTGGATTCAACCTAATCGGACGAAGAGTTCTCCCGGCTTCGGCTTTCACTTCGCACTTGTGTGAGCACATTACTACTTTCTAGATGGTCTCCTCGCCATTTTCGCTGCAGCGCTGACATGATCTGCGTTACTGCTCTGCTGACGGCGTTAAAGGTCAAATCTAGGACATTCGAAGACCACGTGCTCTGGTGATTCTTCCACATTCCCACACTCCGGACAGAAGGGTGATGTTGTGTGTCCGAACCGATGCAGGTACTTCCTGAAGCCGCCATGACCAGACAAGAACTGCGTCAAGTGGAAGTTGACTTCTCCATGCTTCCTGTCCACCCAGGTCGAAATAATCGGTATTAGCCTGTGTGTCCATCTACCATTCTCTGCTGCATCCCAATCCTGCTGCCACTTAACCAACGACACCGCACTCACGTCACGACTCGCATGGCATCATTGGTCTGTTTAGGGTCAGTAATCCGGATGCGAGTGGTCGATCCTAGACGAAGAAAAGAGTGCCACCGGTAGCAGGCTTAAGTGAGGGGTCCGCGGCAGCGAGCACCGAAGTGGTAGTTATCAAACTAGGTGGGAGAGTCCTACCTCTTTCAGAAAACCTAGTAGAGCAGCAGTCCGGCTTGCATAATTGCTGAGTGCATCTTTTACACTGCTTGGAATCCCGTAAAGCTATTTTGCTCCCTGGTATTGGGGGCAGTGACATAGGAAATGCTCAACAGAGTGATGAGTAGAGTCTTGTGGAAATCACCGTTTCCACTGAGGTTGTAGGAAAGGCGAGTGTGGCTAGATCTTAGGCGGGAGAGGACAATTTGGAAGCGATGGTCTGCTGGATCCTTCCATTTTCTCTTGTCTCCTTTGATTTTAAATCAGTATAAAAAGAAATCGTAATAAGCTCTTCAATGCAAAGTTTGTTAGCATAAGTTTTATTCGGTAAAACTAACGGACCAAATTGATATCTAAGGGGAAGTTTGCCACTCCGAAAAAAATAATTACGTTTCGATTTTAATAAAAAAATGTTTTTCGCTACTTTTTTATTCGCCTAAAAATTTTAGAAAAAAAATATTAAACATCCTAGTAAATCAGTTTTTCCTTAAATTCTTGAGAATATTTACATGTTAAAATATTTTATCGCATTCTCCACGGACTATAATGGCAATGTCATCCGCAAACCCAATTATTTCGAATCCTTGATGCTTTAGTTTTAGTTTTGCAGCTGTTTCTTTCACTACTGAATCTCCTAGATTAGCTAATATTTCTCTTTTTTTGGATAGCATTTCTACAATCCAGTTGATTATGTTTTTATTAAAACCACGATTTCTCATGGCGCTTATCATCGACGGGAAAGATGCATTATCAAATGCACCTTTAATATCAAGAAACGTTGCTAGTAGAATGTCCTTAGCCGCAACGGATTTTTTCTATTTTATCAATAAGAGTATGAAGAACTGTTATTGTTGACTTGCCTGACTGGTAAGCAAATTGTGTATTACATAACACAATTTTATTACTTCATTACTTCTTTTTTACATAATGGTTTATTAAGAAGTATTTATGATTTATTTATTTATTTATTTCATATTCATCTATGATTTTTTCCATTAATTTCAAAAATATTGACGAAAGGCTTATTGGTCTAAATGATTGTGGAGAAGATTTATCTCTTTTGTTCGCCTTTGGTATGAATACCACTCGGACTTGTCTCCATTTTTTGGAATGTATCCGAATAAGAAACTAGACTTGAACAATTTAATTAAAACAGGAATTATTATAGATTTACAATTTTGAATATGTGCTGGAAAAATTCCATCTGAGCCAGGAGATTTAAAAGAACTATAAGAATCTATCGCCCATTCAATTCTAGAGTTTGTAAATATTCTAATGGCAAAGTTTTCAGTCTCTTCGTTTGACATATCTAGCCCACATAGCGAGACATTTGTTTCGGTAGATCTATCACGTTCACGTTTTGTAGTTGATCATCAGTAGGAAGAGACCCTGGAAAATGGGTTTGCATTTGAGTTTTCATTTGAGTTTTCAGTAAAATGTCCGTCAGTCTTTTCGACAGTTCCAAGACCGCTAGAATGATCTTTTGAGAGAACTTTTTGAAGTCTTGCAGTTTCAGGGCTATTTTATATGTTTTCACGCATGTGTCTCCAATATTTCCGCTTGGATCTTCTTATTTCTCTGTTATATTCAGTTAACGCGTCTTTATATTGAGAGCAGTTTGAACTAAATTTTGCACGGTTGAATAGTTTGCTAGCATTTTTCCGTAGTTTTTTTCTAATCTATCATTCCACCAGGAAACATCTCTATTAGTCGAGCGCTCCTTTGTAGGACAACTGGCATTGTAAGCCTGATTCATATTAGTTTTTAAGTCATTAGCAACTTTTTCTAGCTTTGTAATGTTATCAATATTATAGAAAATGGTTTCATGTTGGCTCTTCAAATTTATGCTATATAGTTCCCAATTTGTTTTAAGATGATCTTTATAAACCTCCTTCAGTATATCATTAGCCTTAAATTAAAACTTAATTTGTTGATAAAGAAATTTCGTCTGATACACAAGCATCCTTCTTTCCTTCTACTGCTGTCAATTCTGAGTCACTTGGTTGGAAGAATTTACACTCGTTCGGCAATCTGTTTGTAGATGAGGATGGCTATTTTGATTCTATCTGCTTTACCTATAGGTAAGGCAGTGCCTCTTACGAATGTATTAGTAAGCGGGGCAAACTTTATCGGTGGTAGTGTGGTCCCGTGTACCCGAAGCTTCAGGCACCGGCAGGGTTGCTTCCACTCACTTGCTATAAAAAAATATTTTTGGGAATTATGCAATCATTAGATGTTATAATGCAACATAGCACTTGTAAGTAACAAGAGCTATGTGTCAATTTCGCTTTGAGAGCGTCACAATCAGCGATCTTATGTCGAGTCGAAAATCGCTGATTGTGGCGCACTGAAAGCAATATTGACAGATTTTATGTGTCAAACATATACTTCATGACCTCTTATTGTAACTTACAAGTACTAATTAGCATTAAACAATTTCATGATAACATAATTCTGAAAAACATTTTTTTATAGCAAGTGAGTAGAAGTAACCCTGGGCACCGGAGACAATAAAGTTGCGACGTCCCAATCACGATTTTTGTTCGGAGAGTTATTTCTTGTGTCGTCACCAGTTTTCATCTCCGAAAATGTTTCGTAGTATTGCTCTCAAACACAAACAACCTCTATCATGTGCCACTCCTGTATGTATATCTCATTGATTTTGATTATGTGGTGCTCGCGCGAGTGAATGAATTTTCCCATGCTTGCTGATACATGCCAATTAACTATTCGATCAGAAAGTATTGAACTACAAAGAGTAAGGTCCAAAACTTCTTCCCTTATCACATTAACAAATGTCGGGGAGTTCCCTTTTGTTACATATGTCAATATTATGTTGTGAAATAAAATCAAATAGACACTCACCCCTTTTGTTGATTCCGGAGCTGCTCGATATCGTATGATAAAAGCCTTATTTTGGCTTCTGCAGTGAGACACGAACGCTGCTACTTCTGGAGGAGGTGCATCTTCAATTTCGCCAGTAAAATATGCGGATGCCACGTAGAGCATCGGTTTTCCTTAAGTTAGTGAAACTGCAGCAATATCTCTATTGATGAATTCTGTAATTGGTGTAATTTTGGCATTAATATTGGCATTAATATTGACAAGAATTGCA